GGAACCCCTACAAGATTGTTTGTTGCGGACCACACTACCCTTCCAGCGTTATCTTCTCAACTTCTACACCTGATGGCGGACCGTGCCTTTAGGATTTACAGCGCTTTCGAGTTAGTCTGTTTAGATCCTCTCCTGAAGCCACTGCTAGGTAGAAAGTGCTCAGGCACAGTCAATGGACAATTTAAGGCACATCCATGACCTTGCCAAGCGTTTCTGTCAGCTCCTAGGCGAGATCCTCAGCTCCAAGCCAATAATAAGCTCAAACCAGCTTTTGTAGCTTGGCGACATGACTGATAAAGGCTGTCATGTCTGGCTTGGCACAGTTTGGCGACTGAAGGGGAGGGGGCATTTTGTACTTTTGCCACTTCCCATCGACGTGTCGAGCCATCGAGAGAGCCTTTTGAGAATTGACAGGTTTTATCATGGTGGCTGGACGAGCTTGCTCCAGCTTCACAAGAGTTCACAGGTTTCACCAGAGTGAGACTTGTAAACCGGAACTAGTGAAGCAAGCGAAAGTGCAAAATGCCCCCCCCCCCCTGTCGCGGAACATCGCCTGTGACATCAGACGGTGCCGACATGGAAATGAGTGCTATATTCAAACAGGGTACACCATTGTGAGTTATGAAATGGTGACGTCAGCAGGACCCTCCCGAAGCTTTCTTCCTCCGGTGCAACCCCTTTTCCCTGACTACCTGCCATCCTCCTAACGATAATTTTTCCTAGCCTCCTACGATTTCTCCGAAAATTTCTTCACTTTTCCAAAAAATTGGTGATGAGCGTGGGATGAGCGAAGTCATCGCTATCCAACCTCATTTCAGCTGTCAAAAATAGTAGTTGTACAGTACTCTTCCAAGTGCGCCAGACTAAGAAGAAGGACTCTATGATGCTGTAACCTGTGATCATAGCACTAAATAGCTCTAACATATGCAAGCGTGTCAACCTTGGCGACCGGTAGTTGTCGTTGGGTGATCGGCAGTGCTTGGTTAAAAGTTTTCGTACTTTGATCGGCTTCTCCTGAAAAGTCGAAGACATCCTTGAAAAACATATTCATGGCTCACACAAGCAACTTGCCCATATTTTTGCTAAAAGGTCCGGTTGCTTTTCGCCCGATAAGGGTGAATGGGTGCGGTTCGTTGAGTTGTAAAATCATTGAAGCGGAAAGGGAGCTCATATCACCCATTAGATAAGCGGAGTCCGCATCATATGGTAAGCATATGCAGAGTAGTGAAAAAAGGACAGAGAGCGCTACACACCGATCAGTGTCTTCGACGGGATAAGCCATTTACACGAGTTCACCTGAAACTGGGGAAAATTCTTCAGAAAAAGCTACTGTAGCGGAAAATAGAGCTTTGAACAAGCCAAAGTCACGCGCTTTTTGGCGTTTTTGTTAGGCTTTTTCATGTGGCCCCTGGAAACGTTACTTGCTCATATTAAGTACGCCTGGAAGGGCATGCCCAAAAAATTGTATTGGTTGAATAAAATAATGTTGTTGTCGTTGTAGGGGCAGGATAGATTCTGAAAATTCGTGGAGTTCTGGAACGAAAATAAGTTTGCCGACTGAGAAGTGGAAAGAAAAGAAAAAGAATACACAGACAAGGCAGATCCCACGTTCAGTGAGCGAAGTGGGACTGATACATGATCACCTACTACGTCGCTGCGCGGGCCGAAGAAGATCCCAGAAAAATGACACTCGGCAAAACTTCGAATTTGCGACTTTTCAATAGATCGGAATAGCTCAGAGGATAAGGTTTCTTGTGTCGAATTCGGAATCGCCATGTCTTTCAAATGTGAATGCCTATGCAGTGATTATCGGGGGCAGTTGTAGAGGTAAGTGTTTTACCCCTCAAACGAGTCTGGTACTAATTCACCGTCCGCGGAGGAAAGAAAGCCCGAAAACAACCCAAAGTTCAAGTGCTTTCGGCTCGGGTCACTTTCTAGATTGCGCCACTATCCACTTCCATTCGAAATCATGATGGCGTTTTGAGTGCCATTTGGTCTGTACAGTGAATTCCCGGGCCAAATGAAGAGAAAATCAGTACTTCCGACTCCTTTATATAGTACCAGTTTACCGGTCATAGAGGACCAAAACTGCTGCTGGCCCTAGCGAAGTCGGTTCTTGCTCAAGGCAAGTTCACCAGAATAACCATCTTCACTAAGACAAGTAGGAGGCGAAACTCAAAGCTAAATAAATTATATCAAAGTTAGAAAAAACCCTAGAATTCTCTGGCTAGATGGATTCTTGGATCGTTTTTTTGCGTAGATTCCGGTCCACGGCAGGTTCTTTCTCGCTGAAGCGGAATACCAGTTGAAGAAGGTCGAGCTCCTTTGTCTACGCTTATCAGTTGCTACGCAATCACGGATGAAATCATGGACGTCAATGGCGCGGAACTTGAGCCTGGCCTGATAAGCGGACTATACTATCTAGGCCGTATAAAAATGCGGCTTATTTGGTAATGAAGCCATTTTACACATTCTGCTTCGCCCTGTTCGAGCAGCACACCTGAAATTTTGCTTCGAAACCGTGAACTCTTCCTCTCCCTACCTAAGCGCTTTTGCTCATTTTGACCCTCTCGACCTGCTTGATCCGTGTGGCAATCTTCTCGCTGATAAAAAAACCGGCGCAGTTTGCCGAGGGGGCATTTTGCACTTTCGTTGCTTCACTAGTTCTGGTTTACAAGTCTCACTCTGGTGAAACCTGTGAACTCTTGTGAAGCTGGAGCAAGCTCGTCAAGCCATCATGGTAAAACCTGTCAACTCGAGAAGAGGCTGTCTAGATGGGTCGACACGTCGATGGGAAGTCGTTAAAGTGCAAAATGCCCCCCCCGTCGGCAAACAGCGCCAAAAAACCTTTTGAATTAGTGTGGTAATGGCTTTTGCAATAATTCTAGGTACTCCGTCATCTTTATTGTCTTTATAACAAGATCTTCAGCATCAAACTCATTTAGCTTCCATAGCAATACAGTGCATTACTACTGTATTATTTAAGCGTTACCCTACATTCCCCGTGATAGAGTAGTCAGTCCCAAAAAAAACGTCTGGCAGGACAAATTCTGACGTGTTCCGCAAATCACTGCATAGGTCAGGGAAGTAAGTATAGGTATTGTAGGCAACAACTACCACTAGTCTGGTTACTTCTTCAGCACATGGCTTATCCCAGGTAACGAGTAAGCGGAGTGCTTGACCCTTTTGGGAAGTTCAAGAATCCAAGGACCGGTTTCTTCTGCTTATGCCATCATCTCTTGGGGTGTAAAACGGCTCTGCCAGTACTGCACAGCTCTGCCTACCGAGGGGCATGGCGAAATCGCGCGACGTTTAGCTGTTATAGGACTGCCGCGTAGTTTCGTCGTATCTGGTGGCGCTGCCAGCTTGTGCAGGGCAGTGATAGCGAGAGCACACTTTGCAGGCTCCTGATTCTTAATGGGCCGATATAGACCATACCAGAAACCCAGGGAGCGACTTGTCAAGGAACATTCCTTAACTCACCCAGAAAATGATCTCTGAATTTCCGGCAAGGTCCGAAAACCCCCGCAAAACTGTATTGGGTGCGCTTTCTATTGAAGATGGCTAGTCCGAGTAGACATTTGGCTTGCTTGCGTTTTGAAAGGAAATGCATAGCAAATTCTAGTTCTCCTTTCGGATATCTTCGACTAATTCCCTCTATCTTACCTGTAAACTCGATCACTGCCTTGCGTTATCCCGCCTGTAAACAAGTGTCATCGAACATCATCAATTTCAGGTATGAAGACCGTTCTCGTCCTCGCTGCCCTTGTGGCGGTGCTTTACGCCAAGTCATTCACCATGGAGACCCGCAACGCGGGATCGCTCCGCGCCCGCTTATGCGGTGAGTTAACTTCGAGGGATTATGAGCCAGTACTTGCCTGAATTTCTGCGAAATGCTGTCAGGAACTAACCATGGGACCTGATCCAACTTAACTTGAACTTAAAGACCCATGCCGCGACAATGGCCATAGACGGAGAAATGGGTGGCAGACTCCGACATCAGCGTGTTTTTTGCTCTTTCTCTCCTGAAGAAAGGAGCGCAAGCCGGTTGCGGGTCCCTGCCATTTCCGTCTATGCAGCTTGATCGTGAACTGTTGCCTTCTGGATCAATTGCTATGAGCCCACAAAGGAAAAGAAAAAAAAAATCGATTCCAAAGGGAAGTAGATCGGCGAGCTCTGCCAACTGTCACGCGCGTTTTGACGCAGGTATATCAGCAAATGTTCAGGGCCAACATCTACCAGAAGTTCTTGGAGGAACAGCACTTGGCTCGCGCCCAGATCCTTGCCTCTGGCTCGCAGCCCTTCATCGATTACGCTGACGACTTCTACCTCGGAAACGTCACTGTTGGAACTCCTCGTAAGTTTGGCACCGTTCTTAGGTTGGCCTTCTTGGCTGGAATAAGGTCGAAAATAGTGCCTGAAGTCATGCTGTTTCAGCCCAGACCACAACTCTGGTGCTCGACACCGGATCATCAAACCTCTGGGTAATTGATGCTGCCTGCAAGACTGCCGCTTGCAACGGACAGCCCAGCAGCGGATACACCAAGCACAAGTTCGACACCACCAAATCGTCCACCTTCACCAAGGAGACTCGCACCTTCTCCATCCAGTACGGCTCAGGATCCTGCAACGGATACCTCGGAATCGACGTCGTCGCCTTCGCAGGTTTGTACGCTTTCGATTCGTAGCAGAAACAAGACACATATCCGGTGCGGTGATGAGTTCAACTTTGCCGCTTAACACTTGTCAGCGCCGTTAGGCTTTGGGAGGGCACATTTCACATTCGAGTCCTTTTGCTGGTTCAATTATCTAACGGTCCTAAACTATTTTTAGTGATCATATAATTTCGTTGTGAAAGTCAGAATGGAAACAAATGAGCCACCTTTTTTGCAAGAACTCACAGATTTACACAAGACTGCTGCTCAGTTCCACTCAGTGCCCCCACCAAGCCGAACGCATCCTCTTGTTCTACCCCTCTAACCATAAAACGTATCGGAGTTTGCGTACTGTAAGTGCCGCGTAGACGCCTTTCTTAGCTCAGCCTAGTGTGGTGTGAATCTTTGAAAGCCCAGAATCTTACTCTACTAATAGCACCTACTTCCCTACTTTCGTCCAAAAATCAACAGCTCCTAGCAAGTTCTGTGCGAGCTGATAGGCGCGATAAGCTCGACGTGTGGTCGTTAAAGGGCTGTATTAGCGGAATGATAAGAATCCGATTTCTAGCCTACTTGATGGTTTGAACTGGAGCTAATTTGGCCCCAGTGTCTTCTCGGGCGAAAAAATCACCTAGTCGCGAAAGCTGGCAGCGGGAAATGGAAGATCTCTTTGCCCGAAGAGCTGGAGATCTCTTCCCAAAGATTGGCACCCTAAAAGGCAGCTGGCGCGATCGCTTCGGGTGGGCAGTCGTCACCACTGTCATTGATGGAAGGGCTGAGTGTGAGTGGCCAGACACCATTTCGCAGTCCCTCCCTTACCAATTGACGCTAGCAACAACGGTCCGCCCCCACCAGTTGTGCCCATTGTTAGACAACCAGAATGAGCTCGGCTTAGCGCGAAAGAGAAGAGTAGGTGGCGTATCTGCGCCTTGACGACCGATTAATGTGAACTGTTCTCAAGAGGGGCCGCGAGGAACACCTAGACCGCAATGTGCGAGAAAAGCGGGAAACGGCACCATCAGTAGCGGGTAACGCCCCTGGGCGCGGAGGGGAGGTCTCAGCAGGCGGGTGCGCAGTCTCAAGTTAAACCCTTACAAAAGTCCGCTAATACGACCCCTCCCCCATCGGAGTGGAATTCCATGATGAAGCATTGTTTCAGGTCTGTCGATCCCCAAGCAGGAGTTCGGTGTTGCCACTACCCTAGCTGATGTGTTCGGTTACCAGCCAGTCGATGGTATCCTCGGACTCGGATGGCCAGCACTTGCCGTCGACAAGGTTATTCTTGTCCCATGGGAACTTTCTCGGAACTTACTAGCGTTTTCACTGATTCAGAAATACTTTCTAGGTCGTCCCACCCATGCAGAACCTGCTCAGCAGCCTTGACCAGCCTTTGTTCACCGTCTGGTTGGACAGAAAAGTGAGTTTTCGCGTTGACTAGCCCTTTTGGACAGGAAAAATGAGCGCCTTTTCAGCTGACCATCAGCCAAGGAGGAAACGCCGGTCTCATCACCTACGGAGCTATCGACAAGGTCAACTGCCAATCCCAGATATCAACTACGTGCCATCCAGCTGACGACCTTACTGGCAATTCCCCATTGACTCTTTCACCATTGGAAGCTTCTCTGATACCAAGAAACAGCAGGTGAGTCCCACGAAGATCTTCCCTTGCTCTGGATGTAGATAGAAAAGGGTTCTTCTAGGTTATCTCTGACACCGGTACATCCCTGGATCGGAGCCCCGCACGCACGGTTGTTCAGCAAGCCCGGCGGTGTTGTCAAGCAGACTGGTGCCAAGTATGACTTCTTGAACGAGCTCTACACCGTCGACTGCAGCACCCAGAAGACCCAGCCAGATCTCGTCTTCACCATCAATGGAGTCAAATACAACGTGCCTCAGTTTGAGTAGTCTCGGACCTTGTCTGCGGAAACGGATAAGGTTCGTTCACTTTCTTCTAAGTTTTAGCATCACCAGGTTCTGTTGCCCCTTCGCTGAGTGTGTGACATTAGGTCCGGTTTTTGGCCGCGAGAACATGCAACTTTGAACTCACGGAATTTCGAAAAGAGTTATGCATTTGCAATTTGATAAAAGGTACACCACTCTTGGTGCAGTAGTAAAGAATAACTCGCACGTATCACTTGCGTTGCGCGTGGCGACGTGCGACTAGTCGCGCGGCTAAAAACTGAACCTAAGGACCATGCAATCGTTTCACTGCTACTGCCTGTGATTTCTGATCTTTGAACATTTCAGTGCGCTTTAACCTTCTTCGGCATGGACTCTGGCGGTTTCGGCCCATCCTGGATTCTTGGTGACACCTGGATCCGAACCTATTGCAACATCTACGATATCGGCCAGAAGCGAATCGGTTTCGCTAAGGCCAACCACTCCGGAATTTAAGAAGGATGTCTATTGTAATATAAATATAAATAGTTGTAAACTATATCTCCTTTTCTGTGATGGAATAATCGGAGACACTTCACAACGGATTCATGTAGCCCTATCTGGGCACACCGAGTGGGTGGTAAAGAAGGGTGGCTGTATCAGCACCTTCCACCTCCAATAACGAGACGCTCCCTCAGGGGTGGAAGGTGGAATTTTCCTGATTTATCGCGGGCCGCATCCTGAACATGAAAAATATAGATATTGATCAGACTAGATGTGCATAGTCCCATGGCACACCTTACTGTCACCTTTGCTGCTTTTCTAGCTAGCTTTCTTGGTTTGTTAGAAATGAAACACGTGTTATTTTGTCCGGAAATTTAGACAATCCCATCTGTATTAGAGTGTGAAATGGCGCCTGATAGGCCGAATGAAGTGAAATCTGTAACTTTCAACTGGGTGAGGGTCAGGAGACCCGTTTTGCAGCTGCGCGAAATGCTGCGTTGTAAGCGACGTCCTGTGCTTGACATTTGCACCAAAAACATCCTATCCAACATGAGCGACAGTAAGCCGAGTCAACCAACTAGGAATGGCGGGCGAGCGGCCTACGGACAACTATAACTAAATCCCTTTAATGGCGCCAACTTTCTGTTTTTCTCTGCGCCCTCACGTCTTCAAGGCGTTCTGTGACCGCTCTGACCATTTATTTTCCAATTTTTCACGCATAGTAAGCAGCTCATCACCCCGGTGTCCTCTGTCCTTGGAGAAAATCATCTCCTGGCTCGCGATATGTTTTTTGTACCTCTCAATGCCTTGGCGGCCGCAGTTCTTTGTTTCTCTGCGCTCTGGCTTTTCGCAGCAGGACCTCCTTCAAAAGTTTTAGTTGTCACGTAACCCGGGCGAGACATGTGAGCCTCTACACTGCGGATCTCTTAACCAGCCTTCCCATTAGTGTGGCTGTCGCCGTTGGTATAAGCACTAAGACCGATTTCGCGCT